GCCAGAGCGCGGCTGCAGCGGGTTCTCGCGGATGCTCGAGGTTTTCCCGCATACCTGTGTTTCCACCTTTGCCAGCGTGGAGGATCCACACAACTTTGCCGTGCTTTAAAGATCATATCCTGTTTAATATTTTTAATGACTTGCTTTTAAGAAGCAAAATGTGAATAACAATTTTGATGAATTTTTTAAGCAAAATTTAAGAATTATTATATTTGAAATATCGTGATGATGCTGGACAATTTCAGATGTCCCATAGCCAGATGTGCAAAACTAAACTTGTGTGACTTCACGGTTTTGAGGTTTCCTTTGTCTGATTTGGGGTCCCTAGGCCCTACCTTATGCAAATTATTGAACATTTCTAGGACTGGATTAGTGAGATATGCAGTAACCTGATGAAGTGTTTAGCGGCGCTTGAATGGCTTTGTTTAGCTCATGGCCATCAGGTTGGCTCAAATCTGTTTTAGTATTCTGAATTTTGGTGGGCATGGGACAATCTCTTGTTAGTTTTTGTGGGTCTCCAAAGGCATCCTAGCTTCTTCCAGTTGTGCTATAAAAGATGAAGCTAAGCTCATGCTATTGGAAAGAATACTTTTACTTTCTTTATAAATAGAAACTAGTAACTCGCTAAGACTTACTGTTTTTAGGCCACTCAATTCTTAAGGTGTCAGTGAACAAAAAGAAATTGAATTATTAGGATGTTTAAAGAAAAGAGGTTAGCTTTTAAGATATATTTTGTTCTCCTATGGAGAGGTTATCCAATTTTCACATTTTTTTTTTTTTAAGTTGGTTTTACAGGAAAATGAAAGAAATGAGAGGAAAGGAGTGCTGAGGGTGGGGCCAGGAAATTGTGGTGACTTGGATATTAGGGGCCAAGGATACCATCTGCTTCCTAATTGCTGGTTTAGGTTCAGTTATTGATGGGAAATGAAAAGATTTTGCATTTACATTCCACCCGCTGCTGCTGTTGTTGAGGCCTGGGCAGAAACAACAGTTAGGACAGCTGGCCATAGCAGGCCTGGGGCTACGTGGGTTTGTATATATGGCCACCTTCCCCAGAAGGAGGGAACTGCTACCCTTCTCCTGTGAAAGTGCTAGCTGGCTTTCTGCATTGGAAGTACGGAGGGCAGGACCTGGGGAAGATGCATCTGTGTGATCAGTAGGAAGGGTGGAGCATCACTTTAGGCAGGTGTGCTGAGAGGAGACAGATGTCAGTTGATGGGTACTGTTGCTGCAAGGGAACTTGAAGGCAGCGTGGTCCCTGAGGTCCAGCCCCATTTCTCAAAGGACCTGGGGTGGCCACTGGGGGCGGGGGAGCGATGTTCCCTGCCTCTGGTTTAAATTCTGCAGCATTATTATTACTTGTTTTTTCTTAAAAGAAAAAAAAAAAGTTGCCCAGTGAAAAAAGATACATTTCTTTTTCAGTGGTCTAATGTGAGAAACAACATTCGTAATTGGGATTTTTTAAAAGCACTTCTGTTTTTGTAAAACAATTTTTAAAACATTTGTAAAAAAGTAGAAGGAACAGAAGGAATGGTCCTACTATGCTTTTGCTCTCACCTTAGAAAAGGGCGAATGATACTTCACTTCCTCCCCAAAAACCGTTCTTAAAGATCGTGGTGTTTTTCTGGAATTTTCGAGTTGTTGATGAAGAGACGTTAAAAGAGAGACTTGTCTCCAAACTTACGAAGCGTTTCTTAAATCTCGAGAGAGTCATTCCTTTCTTTCACACAGGTATTTCTCACACTTTCAGGAAAAAAAAAGTCCATGCCTTTTCAGATTTTTACATTTTGATCTTATTTTCCTTTAAAACCCTTAAGCGCTTTATTAATAGGACTTCCCCTTGCTAAGATTTTGAAGATTCGTGTCTGACAGAAAAAAGTGCATATATGAATACTGTATAATATGATTATAGTTGTTTATATTGTAATTTGCTATCGTTTCCCAACTTTTTTGATGTTTCTCAGTAATAAAAAAAGTTCTTAACACTCTCCTTTATGTGCATTTATTGCTTATTTATAAACAATGTATTTGCTGTTACAGTTATATTGTATCTCAAGGCCCAATATACACATAGGGCTGGATTTGTTGTTAATAACATTAGAGGTAGAATCCCTGTTTTAAATACTTTCTCTTAATTTTAAGTATTTTGGCCTGTGTCTTGTCAGATCTGATTACATCAGCATGGTTTCTACTTCATGAGGTAACTCATGCAAGGCTGGCTCAGTACAGAGCTTCGCTCAAGGTCTTTTGCTCTCCTGTGTTTGCATTTATTAGTAAAATAAACAGACCTCTGATTTGGTCAGTCTGGGGTGGGCCACAAAATTTGCATTTCTGACACATTCCAAGGTAATGCTGATGCTGCTAATATGGGGACCACCCTTTAAGAACCATTGGACTACAGCAGAAGTTAGCAACCTGTTTCTGAAAAGGACCAGATACTATTTTAGGTGTTGCGGACCCTATGGTCCCTGTCACAACTTCTCAGCTCTGCTCTTATAGCCCAATAGCCACAGGCAATATGTAAATGAATGGGCATGGTTCTGTTCCAGTAAAACTTTATGGATACTGAAGTTTTAATTTCATGTGATTTTCATGTTTCATGAGATATCCTTTTATTTCCAAACCAAAAAAAAAAAAAAACCAATCTGTTGAGCTATTATCATGTGGTGTGTACTTTATTGCCACTGTAATTTTTAATCCTAACAACAAAAGGTTTTACAGATTTAAAGTCTCATATCACTGCATCCTAGAACATGGGGACAGTAGTAAGCCTACTTCAATGGACTTTTACAAGGATTGAATAAGATACAGAGAGGCAGATTATACAGCTCACCAAAATTTGTGCAAATAATGAGCTAGGATTAAAACTCCCTTTGGCCTGACCCCCATCAGTGCTCTTTTCCTAAGCCATACTGCCTCAACAGTTCCGGTAAGGAAGCACTCAAAATAACGGGTAGCTAAACTGACATCTAATACCACTTCATGGTGTCCAGATTCTCCAAGGAGCACTGAACCAGGAGTCACCTGCTGGGTCAGTCTCCATCCCTCTAACAGTAGGTCTGTGTGGGGGTTGGGGAACACTGCAAGTTTCAGCTGGTTCTCAGTTCTTCTTGGTTTTCAGCTCTGCTGGGCTCTTTTGGGTCTTCCCCATGCTCGCATAATCTTCCAGTCAGCCAGGAATATGTGGAGAATTTCTCAGCCCTGTGAAGCACTCTCTCATGAAATAGTAATATTTTAACTTTCTTCAACCATTGAAAATGTAAAAACTGGCCGGGCGCGGTGGCTCACGCCTGTAATCCCAGCACTTTGGGAGGCTGAGGTGGGCACATCACTTGAAGTCAGGAGTTCGAGACCAGCCTTGCCAACATGGTGAAACCCCATCTCTACTTAAAAAAAAAAAAAAGGAAAATACAAAAATTAGCTGGGCATGGTGGCATGTGCCTATAATCCCAGCTATCTGGGAGGTTGAGGCATTTGAACCTAGGAGGGGAAGGTTACAGTAAGCTGAAATTGTGCCACTGCACTCCAGCCTGGGTGACAGAGCTTGCCCTCGTCTCAATTAAAAAAAAAACAACTATTTTTAATTGTGGGCAGCGTACAAAAATACATGCCTGGCAGGATCGGGCCCTTGGGCTGCAGTTTGTGGCTCCTGAACTCAAGGGAAAATTGAGCTTCTACCAAGATGTATTCTTTTTGTTTTTTGAGACAGTTTTGCTTTTGTTGCCCAGGCTGGAGTGCAATGGCACAATCTAAGCTCACCGAAACCTCGGCCTGCCAGGTTCAAGTGATTCTCCTGCCTCAGCCTCCCAACTAGCTGGGATTACAGGCATGTACCACCACGCCTGGCTAATTTTGTATTTTTAGTAGAGACAGGGTTTCTTCATGTTGGTCAGGCTTGTCTCGACCTCTTGACCTCAGGTGATCTGCCTGCCTTGGCCTCCCAAAG